TAGGTATATAATATAGGTATAGATATTATGCATCGCACAATGTATACGTATCTCTCTCCGGAAGATAAGAAAATAGTCGTTCGAGTGCAAATAAACAATTACTTGAACTCAAATATTATGCGGTTTCATCAATATCTGATACATATTTATAGATTTAACGTAGCAGCGACGGACTAGCAATCAATTATTTCGACCTGCCGCGTGCAGCGTATTTGTTGATAAAGTCCATGAATACAGTACCTCGAGCATGCCATTTAATTTGAACGCTAGCAGTGAATGTTCTGTACTTCCGATTTCAAATGTGACTTAATTGTCATGTTTCGGAAACGAAACTTCCGACACGCCGCCGCGATTGGTCGTTAAATTATCGTCGATATTTTGCACACGCCAATTAAATAGAGAAAAGGTTTATAAAAGTTATACAAATTCACACACACACATACAATTCTCATTTCCATCTCATGGAAAGCCCGATTGTACGGAATTAATCAGCGGCCGCTTAAAATCTTTTTAGCGGCTTTATTAAAACACTAATGACACATATTATTAATCTATTTTTGCGCAATCATCATTGAGATAAAAAAAGAACGATAAAATTTATTACCTGATAACAAGTATATGGCCAAGATAAAAATGTAAGCTATGTTTTACACTGTGCTTTTTTATTAAAAAAAGAAATGCACACGTTAATTGCCTAGGACAATAAATAAATAAATAAATAAGTTTGCAAAATTAACATTAATATTTTCGCTCTTTTATAAGAGAAAGAAAATTAGAGAGCTGAAACTTTGGCTTTCTTCAGTATTCGATTGTAAAGTGCCACGACACACATGCGTATATATATCTCGGAGTGAGCAAATTTTACACAACTGAATCCCCAAAAGACACTATTCCTATCAGATGGCTATTTTGCAATGGACTGCCACCATCGTCCTAGAAACAAACGTGTGCACAAAATTCGAAGCGATCCTATGTATGTGTTTGTGTAGTAATTCTAATCGGTTCTTTATCGTGGCAGAGAATAGCAGCGATAGAGAATACCCCCTCAGGGACACGGCTGCAGCCCCAAGTCCCTTACAACGATCGCTATATGCAAGCGCAAAAATCGATAGGAGTCGTCGCAATATATTATCCGTTCCTTCCGTTATCCCGCGTAGAGAGAAAAATATCGCCGCCGGAAAGCTCGCCAATTTTCGATCGCGACTGCTCGATATTTAAAACTGTCTGCGTAACGGCATAAGAATAAAAGCACTACGACGAGCGATACTTTTCATCTGTGTGCGGAGATTAATATTTTTTCACAAGCGGATTCTTGCGCAACATTTCTCTCTCTTTCTCTCTTCTGTCTCTCTTTTTTCTTCTTCTTCCGCTCTATCGTCTCGAAGCCAATTCACTGACAAAAACTAGACAGGTAGAAAGAAACAAGAGCTTTTCCTCGCTCCTACACTTGTTTATCCATTCGGTATCCCATTATTTCTGTCTCGAGAGACGAAAAATTACTTGACAGATGCGCGTATCTCTCTCTCTCTTTCTTTTTCTTCTTTTTTTGCCAATGCTTAAGTAAGCTACACACATCTTAAAGATGATTGTACGCAATCTTTCTATAAACAAAAGCACTGTCTGAAACGAATAGCACTAGCATTTTACATAATTAATTGGATATCGTGCCATTGTTTTCTAACGCTCTACAACCAGCATAATGATCAGTTATGGATGCCACCGCAATTAATTATATTGGGCGACTATAAATGAATATCGATAATTGTCGATGATGAAATTTGGTTATTGAGAATTTTAATCGCCTACAAAAATTTAAAAAAAAGTTATTATTGAGATTATTTTTTTCTGTCATCTATTTTACCGCCTTACTTTCTTATTATACTTATAATATTTATTTTTATTATTTTTGTTACTTTTTTATTTGTATAATTATTTGTTCTCAATGTGTAAAAGAAAAAGGAAGGAAAAACACATTTTCTAAAAGCCAAATCGTCCATAGAGATTGTAATGTTGCTAATGAGTCAGCATTGAGAATATGCGAACAAAATAAAGGCATAAATGTCATGTTGCACGGCTTAACGCTATGTTTCGTTGCAGAAAAAATATAGTTGGACTTTAATAAAAGCTAGAAAGTGAAAATGTGTATCATAATTACGCACATCTTAAATGCATAAATAATATTACGTTATATATGTATAACGAATATTGTAAAGAGTTAATTAGAATTTTTATTTTTTATTTTTTTTCCCATCGGTGAAAAAAAATAATTTTAAAATTTTTGGTGAATGATATACATATATAGAGACTGCGGATGAATACTGCAATATAATTTCAACAAAATTGAGAATTACCTCTATTGTGCGTATAAATCCTTATACAATCTGCCGTAGAATGTGATATTACATTTTACTGGCGTGAAATTAATTAATATAAAAACAGAAATATTCTGATTAAACCGGGCGAGTAAAAGCACGTTTTAAAACTATCTAATTTTTTGCTCTCAATTTTCGAAAAACAGAACATTATATGAATACATGCGTTAATAGAATATTGTAGTAAAATGTACATCAAATAATAATCCCGTAAAATGGAAAATCTGCTATAAAGTTGAATAAACGCTATTTTCCGCTCACTAATAATATTAAAGTTGCAACGGGTATCTTGTCCCTGGATTATTTTATCAATATTACAATCATACACTCGTGTCTGATGATAACACGATGCGTTATACGTGTTGATTAAAAACGCGTTTTGACGATAATAGGACATACATTACCTGCCTTACGCAACTTATCGTATAATTTTTAAGTTACATTAATTTCAATAAAAGCATAGTATATATATATTAAAGAATAATTTCAATGACAATTCTTTATTGGTCCTTCAATAGAAATATCAAGAAATAGTTTATTATTTTCAGCATAATTTTAATATACGACATTAAATGACTCTTTCCAATATAAACTCTGCACATTTTAATATTATTTTAAAACTCACTTAAATCTTAGTTTTAAAATCTCAAAGATTCTGTTATCTATTTGCACTCTTGAAGTTGATGCTTACAAAATAGATCTGTCAGACTTGCGATAACGGATACAACAAGTATAACTTTGATAACTATGACAGTAGAATATTTCTCTCATATTGTTTGTGTGTCGGACAATATACATTTCATATATGTATGCGTTATACGTTTGGTAGAAACTAAGTAAGTATCATGAGTTGGAAATTTCGAACAGATTACGAGTTAACCTACGAGAGGAAGTTTGCGTATATGGGGGCAACATCCATTCTCTCGGATTCGAGCAGCATCTCCATAAATGAGATTGTTGTTTCGTGATTGAACACGATTGGAGATGCGATCATCAAATAATTAACTTACTAATTGCATGCAACGTTGTATTCGCTCAGCGATTTCACTCAGTTGTTGTTTTAAATCTTCTCTAGTGTCTCCGTATGACGTTGCATTGTCACATTGTTAAATTTTCAAATAAATGTTTAAATTTTAAAATAAAGAAAGTTTGATACTATCGAAAGAATGTTTAAAAATTACAAATTCTATAAATTTTAGATTAATGTATTCTCATTTCTCTTTATTATTGTATATTAAATAATATATATCTATATATGTCTCTGATTTTATGCATATTAATATTACGAATATGCTACTATATAATTTTAAAACTATAGAGAGTGAGCTCTCAACCTTATGTGGAGACAATTCAAGCATTACCTCAGGCAAGTGGAGTTTGAAAATTCATGTTTTTTTTTATACGATCGCAATTGATATATCGTTATGAACATATTTTTTTTTTCACAGGAATATCGTGCAGTTTTAAAAATAGAAAAAATGTTAGACTATACTGCACTATATTGCACTATAAAATTGCATGTGATATGTAAAAATAAAAAGAATTGATTGTCGAAATCGAAATATAATGTTGAAAGCTTAAAACGTAAAGCTAATTTAGACAAATGCTTTAAACATGATTTACTAAATGTAAGAACTATTCAAATTATAAAAGATAATTATAAAACATACGAATAACTCTGTTAACATCTTAAATGAATTTAAAATGTATTATCACATATTTAATTTTATATCTAGAAATGATTTATCTATTTCCAATTCTTTCCGATTGTATATCAATAATTAAACGGCGCTGGAAAATGCACCTTATGAATGATTTCTAAGAATATTGACGTATATCATATCTTGATATCACAGTGTAATTTGTCTTATCGCGATTAACCGTAAATCTGTGAGTTGATTTTCGAATCAACATGTTAGTAACTAAGTCACCGTAACGACCGTAACCATGCTGATTATATTCTGTCTGACGTTAATAATTTCCGCCTCGTGTGTAGAACCTAGACCTAGAATAATCGGAGGCACATCTACAACTATCGATAAGCATCCATATCAGGTCAGTTCAATTCGATTGAAATATTCTTTCGCAATTATAGTATAATCATATAGCTCAATATTCGAGTAATTGTATAAATTTGTTACAACTCAATATTGGTGCTTGCTATCAAATATTTTTAGACAATTTTCTAACAATTATTTCGCATGTATGTATTATTATTGTCTTATTAAAATTATTTTGAACAGGTTTCTATTCATTATGATGGTAAACTCGTATGCGGGGGTTCAATAATTAGCAAACAATGGATCTTAACAGCAGCGCACTGCGTTTATGGGTACGTATCACAATTTCTTGTTCTTAATATATAATCTTTCATATATATATATATATATATATATATATATATATATATATACAACAAAAAAACATACACATATATATATTATATATATATATATATATATATATATATATATATATATATATATATATATATATATATATATATATATATATATATATATATATATATATATATATATACACACAACAACAATACACATACATACATATATGTATATAAAGAGAAAAAGAGAAAAAAGAAAGAAAATTCAGATTAGATAATATAGTTCATTTTAAATTGCACAATAAGAATCGTTAGATCAATTAAATGTGTTTATTATAGTGGAAAATTATTGCTGTTTAAAGTCCGAGTAGGTAGCAGTTATCACGATAAAGAAGGTACTCTGATCGCAGATATTTCCTTAATCATTCCCCATGAATGGTATGATGAGGATACTTACGATTACGATGTCGCTTTGATCAAAGTATGTAGCCAATTATGGTTTACTTTGCACAATATATTCTTAAAGTATAACTTTTTTAGTTGCTTACTCCTTTATCCTTGGGTCAAAACGCAAAAATTGTTACTTTGGCGAAATCATCGAGTAACATTAAAACTGGTAGTACAGCAATTGTTTCGGGGTGGGGAAAAATGTCGGTAAGTTTTTTTTTTGTTTGTTTATAAGCTATGTTTTGTTTTCGCATTTATGTATTATCAACTTCAATGTTCATGGCTCTCAACAGTGATATATGATGAGATTGATTGTCTGTATAGAAATATTAAGGTTTGTTTGTCGATGAGTTGTCCGGTTGATCGTCGATAATAAATGTTGACGGAATTTCTGGTAGATATTTGGTAAACATTTGGTAGCCTACATTATACAAGCGTGTTGCCAATTTTAGCCGAATGGCGAGAGTTCCAAAGTATTGCAAACCTTGAAGGTTCCGACTATTGATCAAGAAGCCTGCCGAAAAATATATGTTCGTCATCGAATAGTGACACCCAACATGCTGTGTGCCGGTTACACAACCGGTGAAAAAGACACTTGTCAGGTATCTCATATCTAATCAATATTTTCATCAGCAATTCCCGAGTGAACACATTTATAATCCTTTGATTATAAATTCTTCTCGCATCTCTTTTTCTATTATTCTTCATATCTTCTTTTATTATCTTCTATTACTATATACCTATGTAAACTTTTTGTCTATGTATATAATTTTTTAATAATACTAGATGGAGATTAATTTAACACAATCAGTACATATGTATATCGCATTAAAACGACCTTATTCTGTCTTCGCACTAGTTTTTAGAAATTGATTTCTATATAAAAGTGAAAAAGTTTTATTTGTTCCTATCGTAGGGAGATTCCGGTGGTCCACTCGTGTACAACAGTGTCCAAATTGGGATCGTGTCCTGGGGCGCTCAATGTGCGAGTGCTGGATATCCTGGGGTGTACACGCGAATATCTACCATACGAAATTGGATAACTAAGCGAGCGAACGTGTAGCAGAATTAATTTCTCCCCTCTTTGTCCTGCTCCCGGAAATAGGAGAGAGATAGCATACCGTTGAAAAACTATTTGCTTTTGTTTAACCACATCAAGATCGGACAGCATTATGAAAAAGATACTACGTACGAATTGCACAATTGTAAAAAGCTGCAAAGTGTGAAAAGAGAAAGTGGAAAGAAAATTGTTTGCAACGAAGACGAAATTCTGTAATAATGAAACAAAAATGGAAAACCGCAAAATTTTAATAAATTTAATTATTGTGCTCTCATCCGTATGAATCAACGCGTAGATATTTTCGTGCATTTATTAACATCAATATTTATAAAATTATATCGATTTACATTTGTGTTCTAAAATTGACCAGCCTTATAACGTGTAACCAGCAAATTTATATATATATATAAATTTGCAAAAAAGCGTTTACGCGCAAATCTGAATCTGTGCCGCGGATTCTGTGATTTCATAATCTGATATGTCGCTTGCAGAGATCGAGATTGATTACTTGACGATGCTTTTTTCTAACAAGCTGAAGCTAGATCGATCATTGTGATTTCGTTGTTCTGGAATTGTCGATTGTTAAGATAACTTAGGTTCGATATTCGTCGTCAATATGTTTCAATGATAAAACAAAATGCATTGCGTAACATTTGCAAAAAATAGTATTAAATCTTAAATTTATATATATATATATATAAATTTAAGATTTAATACTATTTTTTGCAAATGTTACGCAATGCATTTTGTTTTATCATTGAAACATATTGACGACGAATATCGAACCTAAGTTATCTTAACAATCGACAATTCCAGAACAACGAAATCACAATGATCGATCTAGCTTCAGCTTGTTAGAAAAAAGCATCGTCAAGTAATCAATCTCGATCTCTGCAAGCGACATATCAGATTATGAAATCACAGAATCCGCGGCACAGATTCAGATTTGCGCGTAAACGCGATATAACGCATTTATAATCGCGTATGCATAATGGTCATATGTTTTCACGAAATGCATTCATATGAGAGTGAAAGAGAGAGAGAGAGAGAGCGAGTGTAATCAGTTCCAAGGTAGCGACATGTAATTTTGCGCAATGCAATAAATATTATCTTGCTGCCCTTTACACTTGCCTCGACGTAAACGTTCGTCACGTGGGATTATTAATTTCAGCGTCGACTCGGAACGGTGGCTCCGGGTTTCGCCACCGCCGCGCGGTGGCATTGAATAAACGGTTTTGCAACCCTGCACACAGGTGGCTGGCTCGTAAACGGTGGCACAAACAGTCAATGTACGCGTCCACCCTATTTACGTACTGGGAGCTGCCAGTAAAGAGCATTGCCATTATACGACGCCGGATGATTGTCGCCTTCGTCTCGTAAAGAACATCATGCCGCGTCGAGGAACAGCTCACGTTCGCTCTGTACGGTTTTGATCATTAAGAATCATGACAAATATGGCATATTAATGTGCCATTATAACCGATAAGAAATAAATATTTCCTCGGATATCAATTTTTGTTATCTAGCAAGGCTAATAATCCTAGCCTGCGTTGTTTTGCCTCGTGAATATATCCAGAATTTCTGATAACGATAAATTATACATGCCGCGAAATGTTACTAAACTTCGAACGTTTTATCCGGATCTGAGAAATTTAAATTAGTGATATAAATTTGCGTACATTAAGATGATTCCTTTGTCTCGATGCTGTATGTTTATCTTGCTACCCAGTTGTCGTTCGAAAGGAGCTGGCTCTCGGGAAAAGAACACTCTCTCTTTGATTTGGCTGTTCTTCATAACAGACATTTCACTACTCTTCTGTATAAAGCCGTTTAATTATCTTTCAACCGGCACGTTTCGAATTGTCTCACGGATGTTTAATTAAGCCTGGCAAGCGTTTCACAATGTTTGTCAAGTAAGCGTTTCAACGTTTGGTATATTTTGTTCTAGAGCGTTTCTCCGAATAAACTATGACAATAAACAAGCAGAATCCAGGTTGAATTCTCGGAAACTCAACGCGACCGGTTAACCTCAGATAACCCCAGTAATCCGGATATCGGAATAAGAAAAACGCGTATCTGCGAAAAAGTATCGGTTCATCGATGAAAAATTTCTACGATTCACGCTTCTAATACTGCTATCTATCTTGTAAAAGAATTTGTCGTAAAGACCTTTTCATAGATGATTGTATATATATAAATGTTAATAACACGTAGGCAAAAAACTAGAAAAATATCGGACGCACGTGATTGGATTGGTTAAAATCGAGTTTTTTGCTTTCTCTCTGTAAGCAATTTAGATACTACAAGCTATTCAGCCCCTAAACATTAATATTGTTCTGCACGTTTACAATAAAAAATGTGATGGGAAAAGAAATCAATAAAAAAAAAAATTATATATATAAAAATTAATGCTGTCCCCATCGAGAGATCTATTGACGATTATATAAGATACTTAATGTGTTTTAGATGTGTTTTAAATGTAAAATCAATAGGATAAATTTTTTAATAATCTTTTGTTCTAAATGAATACTCTACTTCTTTATAGTCGTGTAAAAATTATTGATGTCTTCATTAATATATCGTGTGTTGTTTCATTCTCCGAGCAGTCTCAAATACTTTACATTCACGCTGCCATTGTATTCACGATTGATATAATATAATAATTACAGCGATACGGTTTTGACCGTACATTTTGAAAGAATAATAAAGCATAATGATAAAACACATGTCATACTTTATAAACATTTATAGATGTCCATGCAGAAACGTTCTAACGATCCTTTCAGACAGATCCATCTCAGTTCTTGTTTTGTGTCAGAACTCAACTCGTGTACGCTAGTTAATAGTTTATATAGACAATTGTGTGACAAAATACTAATTCAAATATTGATCTAGAGAATAGTTTAGTATGATAGATTGTTAAAGACAAGTTGACCAATATTATTGACGGACATGCGTATCAAGTAAGTGTATTTCAATAACAATTGATGAATCCAACTTCGTTAAACTAACTTTCAAACTGTGCCGTGATGAAAGTCGCAGTTTAAAACAATGACAGCGAAAAGAGATATAGTTGAAACAGCGTAATTGCTATTAATTTGGCTTTGATCTATCTAGTTCTGTCTACTATGCTTCAATAATATATGCGCGTATGTAGATTTTGTTAACAAGAATTTTTATAAAGACGGGAAAAACAGTCGCTCACTGCAGACAATTGTACAAGATATACGTTTTTACTATCGATTAGTAACGGACAAAGTTATCCGTAAATAAATCTAAAAACAATAAATTATTCGTAGGTTAGACCGTTCGTGCCGCATGTGCAAATTATAATGCATCTGTTCGCGACTATTGATAAGTTATAATTCAAAATAAACCTACAATTCTGTCCAGAGAAATTGAAATAATAATCTGTATTTAGCGCCGCACGTTCTCATCTTGCGACGGATTTCCGATGAATACAATGTGTGATATTTGATGATATATAAAATTAAAATTTTCGCCAAATTTCTATATATCCCTCCGATATGACAATCGGCACGCGCGTTTGCGGCAGGGTTATCATTGGCAAAGATTGAATCATTACCGCGGACATTACTGTGCTATAGAGGGGTACATAGATTTTTAACGGCACGATCAATTTTGTTAAGCCATCCAGTAGATTCGTGACGAATATTTCACGTGACGTGCTCTCGTTTCAGTTCTTTCGCGCGATTCTTCTCGATAAAAGCAAGCACATGTTATCTGACAGAGAAGCGCGATCAAACTCGCAAAACAAATTATTTTTCATGAGATTTATAATCATTGGACTCGCGATTATTTTGCATTCGAACTATCATAAAGATGAGTTGTTTTATTTCCCATCATGTAGAACGCTTCATAGTTCAGAAAAGATCGTATGTAATTGTATAAACAACATAAATATTTCTCCTCCGTTATGAAACACAATTCCTGTGATGATACGCGTTTATGTTTCGCATGCGACGGTTTCGTATCAAAGTATTATCATCGAATCGCGTCGTTATACGATATCCACCGTGTAATCATTGGAGACCGACGTATTACCAATCCGAGAGATACTGCTGATTCACCGATTCCAATATCTCTGTAAATTCACGCGAATGTCCGTTTGATATTTTTTCACTCCAATGCACTTTGACTTTAATTTTCTCAAATCTCTCTCTTTCAAACCTTGGTTCTTGTATATTAAAAAAAAAAAGTTTATATCTTTTTTATATAATATTATATTTTTCTAGATTGCATAAAATAGAGAGAAATTATTTCATACATATAGAAACCCTTTTTGTCATTTTGAACACATCGATCTTTGATACCGTTGAAAATCAAAGTCCGAGTACCTCTCGAATGACTAACAGCACCCTGAAAAAGCAGTCGAGAAGTAGCCGTTCAATATCGTAGCATTACGTGCGCAATTGCGGAGTGGCAAAACTCCGCGGTGACGCGATACCGTATTAAAGTAATGGCACAGGGCGTTATTACGTTATAATAGTACAGCGATTATTGCGAGTGGCAATGCGACGCGAAATACCGTGAGCGAATAGCGATCCATAAAAATTTATTCCCATTATTATTCCCGTATTGATACTCGCGTACTCAAGATAACAATTACGTTCATCGAACTAATGTAAAACCGTTTACAAAAAAACACGCAGAGCAAATAAATTAATAAAAATAAAATTTGCCAATTTAAAAATAAAAATTGTAAAATGATGAGAAACATGCCTGAATTAACGCTTGCTTTTTTTTAAAAATAGAAAATATTTTCTATTAAATTAAACAATTTCTTTTTCCTTCCTGTAAGTCATTTAACACGCTTCAAGTTTTATTGTTAAATTTAATTACATCTCAAATTTGAAATATCAATTTCTAAATAGGTAATTTAGTGATGGAAGGAAAATACGTGTTTACTATATACTAAACCAACAAACCTAATGCCTTGATAATCATAGAACAAAAGAGATCCGATAATATAAGATAAGAATAAAAAGAGAATCCTGATTTCTCTGAAGTAATTCTTACTTCTTGAGAGGAAGCAGAGCGTTCACGTGCGACGAAACTAGTTGTGTTGTCTACTCGATTGTCGCCTATAGACAACAAGCGGTGACAATAATAAAATCAAAGAAAGAAATTCTCTTTGCTACAAGAGGATAGGCGCAGTCGGAAAGTTTCTCGGTTTGCCGATGAAGCTGAGAATGTCTTCTTACACGCGTCAATTCGGCGCCTGCGAACCGGGAAACTCCGATAACCAGCCGCA